ATGTTTTACATCATGGAGTGAACATGGATCCACATTGTGTACAAATAATGCTCTTTTTTTCCCCCCAGAGAGCTATTTTTGGTTGCATCTTGCATGAGGACATGGGTTTTGAAGGCAAGGGTGCATTTCCTCTGCAGGAAGAGTGTGTGACTGAGGCCACCACAGGCCCCGCGGTTGTGTGACCTCAGGGAGACATGTGGGCACTGCCGACTGCTGGTTCTGCGGTCCTTGCTAGCTCAGAGGAAATGCTTTTCTGCGGTTCTTTTTGAACTGTGCGGAAGTGTGAAATCTCCACAGCTGACTGGTACACTGTGAGAAATCTGAAAATTCCTTCTACAGAAGATGCAATGACATGATGCAGTGCACATCTTGGACTGCTCCAGATTGCTGGATGTTGCCTCTGGGTGGATCGAGTGTGTTTTATATGCCTGGTGTTTTTCTAGCCTCGGGGAATTTGAGGCTTTGAATGGCACTGCAGCCTCCTCTGCCCAGCTGACCTCAGGACTCTGGAGGCTTCACACCTGCACCAGTCCTGCCCTCCCCTCCTGTGAGCACCACGCACACACGTGTCCCCCAGTGTGACAGCACTGTGGGCCACAGCCCTGCCCGTCCTGCCCACCTGCCTTACAGCCCAACTCCCTGCACTCACATGCCCCAGTGCATGCTGCGCACACACACACGGACAGTGTTCATACGGTACCCTCACACACACCCTGACACATGTGGTTCACACATGTCCTCGCAGTACTGTCCCCGCCTGCTCTCACCCCATTCATACATGTGCTCTCCTATACTGCTTACACACGTGCCCTGACAGCTTGCAGACACGTTCTCACAACACCATTCACATACACGCCCTCACACACTATTTACGCTTATGCCCTCACATATTCACACTGCCCTGACACACTGTTCACACACACATCCTCACACGCCATTCACAGTGCTTTCAACGTACTGTTCCTGTGCATACCATCACTGTTCATGCACACACTCATGCATGCTGTTCACACATACACCCTTACACATACTGCTCACACGAATGCTCTCACTGTTCACACACATGGCATCATATATATTGTTTGCAGAGTGCCCTGACACATATTGTTAACATACACACCCTCGGACACATTTTACACACCCACACACACACATATACACAGTTCGCACACACTAGCACATACACCATTCACAGGCCCTCAAACACCACATTCACATCATCTCTCACAGTGTTCACACACCCCACACACACCCATGCACACACACATGTGTATACATACTCTCATGGTCACTTGCCATCATGTTTACAGCTGAACTCCAGAACGCAGCTCAGATACCCAAAGTAACAGGTGGTCACCCTGCTGCCTCCTGGGTCCCTGAGTCTCCCAGTGGGTGAGGTCCCAGGCAGGAAGTATGAAGGCATGACAGGCAGCGGCAGGCTTGGCAGGGCACATTCCGATCATGGTGAGGAGCCCAGGTTCTCTGTGGACACTGACATATTAGGGTTCATCCGAGCTGGACTCTCCTGGGGGTACCCATCCAGGTTCTCCAGAGAAACAGACAGGTCAGGGGAGTTATGTGGTTGATTTATGCAGTCACAGAGGCCGAGAGCTCCTGCAGCCTGCAGCTTGCAGCCTGTCTGAGATTCCCAGCAGCCCAACCCCCCAGCTCCCCAAGTCAGATTGGAGACCACTGTCCGGGAGGAGGCCTGGCTGAGGAGGCATCTCTCCTGTCCTCCTCCAGCCGGTCTGTCTCCCTCCCTGATTCTGCCAGTCCTCTGTTCAGCTCCTTCAGCTCTGCCTGGGGGCCCCTCTCTATCTTTTTGAAGATCTAAAATAAACTTTACTTAGCTTTGCAAACACTCAGGGAACTTTAGCTGCAATCCTGGAACATCTCTGCTCCAGCTGGCTGGTCCAGCCTCACCCTTGACTACAGCAGGTTCAGGAGAAGGGTGGCCCCGGGGCTGGTTACCCAGTGCTCAGGTGCCACCCCACTGCCAGGAGAGGGCTTGACTTTGCTGGAGCTGGGAGCAGAGGCTACCACTTGCTGGGTATCACAGCAGGGTCCAGCAAGCAGACAGGACCCAGTCTTCCTGCTTGGCCAGACTGAGGCCATGAACATGGCCAGACTGAGGCCATGAGTCCTCTGAGGCTGCTGGTGGCAGATGGCCCCAGGGGACGTGGTCTCACCCAAGGTGATACCTCGCAGTGTCCCCTAGCTGTGAGGAAAGGAGGCCTCTTAGCAAGGAGGTAGGGTAGTGGGAACCCAGCAGCAGGCAGCACCCCAGTGTTGCTGACAGTGTGGCAGTCTCAGCTGCCCCATGGCAGGTGTGTGTGTGCGTCTTACCAGAGACTGAACCCAGGGCCTTTGCACTGAGCTACACCTCCAGCATTTTTTAAAGCCTGGGGATGAAGCTCAGTAGCACCGCGCCTGCCTGGCAAGCACAAGGTCCTGAGTTCGATCCCCAGTACTGGAAAACAAAGCAAAAAAACCTTTTTTTTGTACCGGGGATCGAACTCAGGACCTTATGCTTGCGAGGCAGGTGGCGGAACCACTGAGCTACATCCCCGGCAAAACAAAAAATCTTCTAATTCTGAGAAAGGGTTCGCTAAGTCACCGAGGTGCCCAGGCTGGGCTCGTCGCATCCTCCTGCCTAAGCTCCTGGAGTGCTGGGACTGTAGGCGCGCTGGGCTCTTGGGGGAAATCAAGGCATCTGGCACAGCGCGAGCTTCCGGGCGAGGCTCCAGGGCGAGGGGCGTGGCCGGAGGGGCGGGGCGAGGCGGGCCGGGCTGGAGCGGGAACTCCGCCCCTTCCCCCCGCCCGCTCCCTGTCCTGCAGTGGACCCCAGGACGCGGGGACCGCGGCCTCTGCCCTGCGCCGTCCCAGAAAGGACCCGTGCTCGCTGCAAGCCAGGGCTTTGGGTGCGAGAGGCCGAGGCGATCTTCCCGCTCCCGGCCCCGCCCCGCGGCTCGGCTCGCACGCGATCCGGCGCCTCGCGTGACCGCCGAGGCCGCAGGAGGAAGCGAGCAGCACGCGATGCAGGGCGGGGGTTGGGGGAGGACCCTCCGTTAGGGCCGCGCGAGGCGAACCCAGGGGGATCCGTCTGGCTTCGTGCGCGGGTGCGGGCCAGGGGCGCTGTCCTCTCCAGCCGGGCCTGGGAACGCGACATCCTGCGGAGCCACCACCCACCCACTTCCCAGGGCAGCGCAGCCCAAGCCAGGGGTATCAGTCCCGTTCTCCACCTGGAGCTGTCTGTACCCAGCGCGAGTGGGGATACACAGGGCCATTGGAAGCTGGGGTCCCTGCCTGGGCAGCTCTGGGGACCCCAGGACTGGGCCTGTCTTCAGGATGGCCCAGCCACCGAAACCCAGTCTCACCAGGAGACCGGGGTGCCGGGGTAAAGGGTCCTGGGGGACAGGGAAGACCTCATGGGCATCCCTGGATGGTCACCACCTCCCGTAGGGCCCCTGTCCTCATCTGAGCCCTGTACTGTGGTGGTGCAGGCAGCAGCTTGGGAGACTCCAGGGGTCCTGTGTGCCTGGGCAGCCCAAGTCCGAAGGGAAGAGGTGAAACCCATCTGGACCCAGAATATGCAGAGGGCCCCAGCTTGAGCCCTGCATTTCTGACAGGCTCTGGGGACGCCAGGGTGGCCTGAGGAGGATAGACATCATGGTTAGCTCACCTGGACAAATTGACGGGGGCATGGGAGGGTGCAGGCTGCAGCTGTCCAGAGTGCTGCCCAGCTGGAGCTGGGGATGCCCCCCTAGCCTGAGTGACTGAACCACAGAATTGCCCCTCAAGCTCTGCTTTTACTTCTTCATAATCTGACCAGCAGCCTCCTCCTCTCCACAAGGCGGTAGGCCATAAAAGCTGAGCAGCTTTCTAAAGCACTCTGGTCCCCACTGAGTGAATTTCTCTGGGCAGTGGGGGTTCTGTTTGTGACACATCTTGGTCAGGGTCCGCCTCTGTGGGGCAGTGAGGGGTCACAGGATGCTGCCTTGGAAGCAGAGATCTGTGACATACCTGATGCTTGTGAGGAGCCAAATCGGTGAAACCAGCTACCTCAAGACAGGTCCTCTTGAGTGGAAAGTTCATGACTGGCTCATTATCCAAAGAAAATACTGATGGCCAAGTGCCACATTCAGTGCTGGGTCATATCACATCCCAGGGTCAAAACAAGAGGCCAGGGATGCGTCAGGCCAGGCCTGAGTGGATGGGGATGTTGGACTGAGGGTGCAAGTATCTTCCACCTTCAACTTTTGTCCAGAGCCTAAGAAACAAGGGAGACTTTGCCAGCCCAGCCTTCCTTGGAGGCAAAGCCACGAGGGGCCATCTGAGCCACCTGGGGCACCTAAGCCAGGTCCTTGCTGGGACCCGCCTATCCCCTGTCTCGAGTGGATGGCCCCACAGTCCACGTGCCAATTTGGATGCTCACTGTGGAGTTAGATGCCCAGGTTGGGTCCAGAAGTCACCACTTGGCAGTTGGGATGGGAACAGACCTCCATCTGACCTTGAGCTCTTCATTGCAGAGTGATTGGCCGTGTGGGTTGGGAACTGACACCAGGAATCTCTCTGTCCTTCAGGGACTGGGTACCCTCGAGCACCTCCAGCCCAGGAGGGGACTACGGAGAGCTCACATTTAGATGCTGACAGTAGTGGCATGTTAGGTCCCAGTGCTCGGGCCTCACAGGGTGCTGTAGACCCTGGGAACCTGGTCGAGGAGGGAGACTTGGCCATGCTGGAGGAGATGGGGTACTGAGGGCGGCTTCCTTGGGGTCAGACCACCTCTGCATTCTGGTCACTCCCCCTGCTGCCCTTGCTGACCTGGGACCTGGGCCTGGCTCCTCCTGCCCACTCTGTGGACCCACAGGACCATTGTGCAGGACAGCACCGTGGCTGCAGGCACAGCAGTGCCTGTGGGTGGAGCTGGGCACGTGTGAGGAACTGTGACTGGAGAGCTGCCTGGTGCCTGTGGCTCACCTGTCTGTTTCTCTCGACAGCCGTGCAGGAGACTCGCACCCTCTCACCTGGAGACAGCCCACAAGGAGGGGCCCCCGTGCAGGAGGGGCAGCTTCTGCTGGAGGTGAGTGTGGCTCCCTGAGGGGCCCTTCCCCAGCCTCCAGTTCACTAGAAGCCAGGGCTCCAGGACACTCACCAATGCACCAGGAGGGTCCCAAGGCTTTGGTTGGGGACAGCGGGCAGTGGTCAGGATCCTGGTACGAGGACCAAGTGGATGAGGCTGCCCATGAGTTAGCCAGGTCTGAGGGTCAGTCTGCATTCTGCGTCCTCTGCTTTTACTGCCCCAGTGAGAGAAACCCGGAAGAAACATCAAGCCATTTATCTTCCATTGAGCCCTGGCTACAAATCCAGCCTCTTCTGCTCCACCCTCTGCAACTCTTAACTGCACCCGCCTCACCCCCACCCTCTGCATCTCCATCCTTCACTCTCCAGCCTCCAGGACCCCATGCAGACCCCATGCCCTCCAGGTTCTCCTGATATTCCTGCTTACCAGTGCATTTTCTGAAGCCCTGGGTGTGCCTGCTAAGAGTGTGCCTGTTCTCTTCCTGAACGCCCTGCTGTGGGCCCCAGACCTGGAGAGGTACCATGCTGGTCCCAGCTGAGCTTTGGCTAAGCCTTTCCGTTCTACCCTAACAGCTCCCTGGGGCCTGGAAAGCCAGGACCTGCAAGTGGGGGGTAGGTCAGCTATATTTCCATCTCCTGCTGCCTGCAGCGTTCTGTAACTTCTTGCCAGTGGGACTTTCTGAGGAAGTCTTTAGAAGAGGCCCCAGGCTTGGGGTCCCCTGGAACCCACTCCCTCATTTGAGTACCTCAGCTAGTTGCATGGTTCCCATAGACGTGAAGACACAAGTTCCAGATCCAACACATGGGTTCATGGCTCTGTGGCCTGCAGAAGTTTCTAGAGGTTTGCTTTTACTGGGACCAGGAAGGTTGTGGGTGGTAGTGGTGGTGGGGCCTACTCATAGTTCAGGGCAGAAATTCTCAAACTTCAGAGATACATATTCTTTCTGAAGTTTAAGAATATCCCCAAAGTGGGCCGGGGATGTAACTCAGTGGTTCCGGTGCCTGCCTGGAAAGCGCAAGGTCCTGAGTTCGATCCCCGGTACCAAAAACAAAAAACAAACAAACAAAAAATATCCCCAAAGAGCAAAATAATTCAGGCAACTCAAACAACCAAATACGGCTTTTGCTTCCAGTCTTCAGGATCTGTAGGATAAACTTGACGGAGAGGTCCATGGCTGGCATCGTAAGTTCATGAGAAACTCAGAGGTTGTGTAGATGTCATGGAGCCTGAAGGCAAGGGTCTGTTACTGTAACATTAAGACTGAAAATCAGAGCCCTCGAGATCAAATCAAGGCCGTGGGGCCAGGCATTCTGTGCTAGGTCATCCGGCTCATTGTGCCTTAGTGCACACCTGGTGCTGGCTGGTGGCAGGAGAGTGACAGATGGGAGGTTGGGAGGGCAGAGAAGGGTCTGGAAACACACCCACGAATGGCACCGGGCCATGTGCAGCTCTGCCACTGTGCTTAGTGCCTTTGAGGCCCATCCATGCCCCTAAAAGGGAAGCTTCTGTGATGTGGACAAACCGTGTTCCACTCATCTCAGAGGGACCTTTGGGGGTCTCCAGTTCTGGGATTTCTGGACAGAGCTGCAGGGAGCACTCACATGCAGGTTTTTCTGTGAACACAGATGTTTGTTTCTCTGGGGCATTTACCCAGGGCGATTGCTGCTTTCTGTAGCAGGCTTTTAGCTGTGTAAGGAGCAACCCAGCTGTTCTCAAAGCTGACCCAGCAAGCCTGCCACACCCCCACAGCAGTGACAGCAGTCCCCATGGCATTGTACTTGGTTTTATCTTTTCCAAAGCCGTTGCACTGCCGGTAGGTGTGTACTGAAGTCACTTGGGGACAGTCTGTTTCTCCATGACCAAGTATGTTGAGTGTCTGTTCTTCTGTGTATTTGCCATCCATATGTTATCTTTGCTAAACTGAATATTTTCTCAGCATAGAACATCAGGCTGTTTGCCATTTTACTGTTCAGTTTGGAAAGTTCTTTTTTTTTTTTTCGTACCGGGGATCAAACTCAGGACCTTGTGCTTGCGAGGCAGGCGGCGGAACCACTGAGCTACATCCCCGGCCCTAGAAAGTTCTTTATGTGTTCTGACACATAGCTTCTGTCATATGTGTGGTTTGTAAAAGTTTTCTCCCAGCCTGTGGCTTATCTTTTCATCCTCTTGACTGGGTGATGGGGAGAATGGAAGTGTTTAATTTTGATGAAGTCAACTTTATTCATTTCTTTTTGTTGTAGGTCATAATTTTGATATCCTGCCTGGGAGCTCTTCACCTAACCTCTTTTTACAAAGATTCTTCTTGTATGTGTTCTTACACAGTTTCACAGTTGAACCTTTTATATTCTCTGTATTCTTCGTGTTGGCCCTTTCACTAGTACAAACTGTCAAACTTGAGTAAGTACAGTTAGTCTTCGCATCAGATAGATTGAACCTTCTAATTTTGTTCTTTTACATAATTGTCCTGGCTACTCTAGTTCCTTTGTCTTTCCACAAAGATTTTAGAATTAGCTTACAGAAACTCCCAAGTAGGTTTTCCTGGGATTGTTAAACCAGTTAAGTGATTTGGGGGATCCACCCCCAACATTACTGCCTCAGCATGGTGATCTCTCCTTGTATTTAGGTCTTTAATTTCACCATTGTTTCTTAGATTTCAACACATAGGTTGTGCATGTTTATGTTAGATTTGTACCTAAATATTTTGCTTTTGTTGTTTCTATAATTTAAACCTTAAAAATTTTCAATGTTTCATTGTTTTTCTAGGTTTACCATTAATCTTGTGACATAGGGCTGGGGATTTAGCTCAGTGGTTCTGCCACCCGCCTTGCAAGTACAAGATCCTGAGTTCGATCCCCGGTACCAAAAAAAAACCCCCAAAACCAAACAAATCTTGTGACATTGCTAAACTCATTAGTAGTTCTCAAAGCTTTTTGAGAATCTATGAGGTTTTTTTTACATTGATTTCCATGTCATCTGAGATTAGAAACAGTTTTTTATCTGCTTTTAAAAAATCTACCTGCTTTCTTCGTCCTACCTATTGCATTTCCAGGACTTCCAGGGCCACCTAGGATTGGTGAAGAGGACATCTTTGGTTTGGTCCTGATCTTCCAGGAAAGACTTCAGTCTTTTAATGTTAAATGTGATACCAGCTTAGGTTTTTGGCTTGGTTTTTTGTAGATGATTTATCAAATTTTCCTCTGTTCCTTGTTTTCTGAGAGTTTGTATGAGTTTTTTTTTTGTTACCAGGGATTGAACTCAGGACCTTGTGCTTGTGAGGCAGGCACGGTGTCACTGAGCTAGTTTCCTGGCCCCTGTATGAATATTTTATAAGATGCTTTTACTGTATGTGTTGAACTGATTATGGTTTTTCTTTCTTTAGACTGATAATATATCGCAAATTACACTTGTTACAGTGAAGTGTTATAGCTCATATTACAGCCACGTGTTACAGCTCTGTGTGATAGCTATTCAAAAGTCTCTAGAGGCAAAGAAACCGAGGATGGCACTTGGAGAGGTGAAGGAATCCTTTATTACACTGACAGGCTCAGAGGAGTTCATACTCAGAAGTCTGAGCTTCGAACAGAAATGGAAGCAGCCTTATATAGAGATCTTCGGGGTAGAAGGCAAGCCCATGTACCGGGTGAGCATGCTTGTAAAAGCAGAGGAGTGGAGTTAACAGAACATTCTTGGAAGTCTGGAGGAATATTGTGCAGCTCAAACAGTTACATTGCTTGAACAGAACATCTTATGGCAAAAATGTTGGAGTGGGGGCATGACAGCAGACAAAGGTCTGCCCTGTTGTGCATTATTTCCTTATCACATTGACTTTCAATTGTTAACCGATCTTGCATTATCAACATAGGTCTCATTTACACGTTGCTGCATTTAATTTGCTAGTATTTATGGGAATGTTTATGTCTATGTTCATGAGAAATACATTTTGTAATTTTGTTATAATATCTATCTACTCTTGGTATCATGGTAACTGCTGGCTTCACTAAATTGGTTGAGGGATTCCCCTTCTCTGTCCTCTGGACAAGACTGTATGGAATTGGCATTATTTCCTCTTGAAATAGGTTTGGCTAGTCTGGGTCTTTTTTTTTAAAGTTTTTAAAACTATGAATTCAAGTACTTTAGTAAGTGTAGAATTTTTGTAGTTATTTTTGTGTTACTTTTACAAGTTATGTCTTTTGAGGAATGGATCAGTTTCATCTGCATTGTTAAATATGTAGGAGCACAGGTGGTCATGATGTTCTGTGTCGATCTTTGTCTGTAGTTCCTGCTTTCTCTCAGTTTTTCCTGGTTAGTTGGTTTTGAATTCTGTCGATTTTATTGATTTTTTTCTAAGAAGCAACTATTGGTTTCATTGAGTGTTTTCATGGTTTTCGTTTCTAGTTTTACTAATATCTGTTTTTATCTTTATTATTTCCTTCTTTTTGCTCAGTTTGAATTTAATTTCCTGTCCCTTTTCTAGGTTTTTTTTTTCTTGGTACTGGGGATCAAACGCGAGTCCTTGGGTTTGCAAGGCAAGCGGCGGAACAACTGAGATAAATCCTGAGCCCTCTAGTTTTTTTTTAAAGGTAGAAATTTAGATTGTTGAATTTGTCACACTTTTGTTTATTGCTTAATTTTTATCTATTCAGTTTTTATTAAATTAATTTCCACTCTTACATTTGTAATTTCTTCGCACTATGCTGTGAACTTAATTATTTGATTTTCCTCTAGCTTCCTAAGATGAGGCTTAAATAGTTGATTTCAAAGTATTTTTACTTTATAAGTATTTAACACTATAAATTTCTCTCTAAGCCTTTAACTGCATTGCACAAATTTTAATATGTTGTATTTTATTTTCATTTAGTTCAAAATACAGGGTTTGCAAAATATAGGAATACATTAGGAAAAGAAAAACTTGAATAATTATTTTAATACTAAATTTACTGAGGCATCATGAGATTAATACAAGCTACCTTTGTTGGCCTCTCCAATTACCAGAGGCTTTC